ATACAACACTTCTTTCTAGCACTTACCATTATAGTGCTCTGTAAACTAACCCACTGTCTGATACATAACAGGCAACAAACTGAGCTGAATGCCAGTGTGCAGGTAATTTTCTGAGGATATGTAGTTACACTTTCGTCAGAAGATACTGGCACTCTTTGTCATGGCTTCTGTGCTCCATCCTTGAAGATCACCAGGGATCTTTATTGGAGAGGGGAGAGGGAGTTTTAGGAAACTTTGTAAAGTGCTTCTATTACCTTTGAAATCTCTTTTCAGTTCCATATTGTGAAGACTTGATCACTCCTCTAACATTTTTTCCTGAGTCCCTCTTTGGGGGTTGAGACCATGTGAGCATTGCACCTGTTCTGTTATGCATGTGATTTCCCTGTGCCATGTTGCTTTTGTGACTTGTCTTTTTAACATTATGAATATTTTACGTATTCAGCTTTATGAGAAAACACAAGAAAGCACAGACTCTCCTAAAAAAGGCATGTCGTGGAATTGGCTGTCATCGAAGGGGCCTGTCATACCCCCGGAATCCATCATGGCTTAGGATCTCGGGCAGCTAGGGGAACCCGTCTTAAAAAACAGCTCTGGGAATGGTGATATAATATGGAATAATGGCGTTGAAACTTTGTGCTAAGTAATGTTTTGAAATTAGATGCCTCGTTGCTCGTGTGTTCCTAAATTGACAGGCGCTGGGCAGCATTCCATAATGTCTCTAAGTTTATGTCTTTTTTTTTTTTTTTTTTCTAAGTTTATGTCTTAACTGAGCTGGCTGGGAACACATCAAAAGTTATAGCTTCAAATTGTAATGTGCTGCTTGCTATGTCGCGGGTGTGACAGAGGCACTTCCGTTACTTTGCGTAGCTTATAACTCTTCTTTGAAATTACCTCTTTGAGTTGACATTTCTCTTAGGTATAATCCACCCTAAGATTAAATTTGGTTAGCCCCTTCATAGTTCAGAATTTAAACTAGTTAAAAACCTTTATGCACTTCTTTATATTCAAGATAACATAGGCTTTGTTAATTTCAACCTTAAGAACTCCTCAGAGATTTTGTAGGGACTTTAGCAATAAATTCAGAAAAGAATTTTGGTTATAATATGCAGTATTTTCATGAATAAAAATATGGCACTTCTGAGATACTCCAAAAGGAATCTAATTTAGTGCCTGGAGTTTAGAGTCATTCTCTCAACTGTGGACCTTACAAGGGCGGTTCAGTGGGAGTCCGTTTTCTGTGTACACTTTGTGGATAAATGTAAAGGGCGTCCTGCATCCAAACACCTGCTTCTCTCTTTCAGGCAACCTTTCTTACATACTACCTTGTCTGGTAGGTCTACCAAGCAGTGGTTCTCAAAACTTTCAGAGTTAAAGGAAGCACCTGGGTAGCTTTAAAAAATTTACATTCTCAGACTCCAGCCACAGAGAACCTGAATTTGTAGATAAAAGAGATAGGATGCTGGCCAGAGGACCTCTCTTTTGGGCCCCTCTCCTGTCCTTAACAGATTGGTGACCCCGCCGATCTACCCACGATATGCTGTGTATAGAGCAACCCTTAAAACAGCAGCAGAACAATGTGCATAATTGGGAGGAGAAAGAGGCCACATGAGGCCACAGCCACAGCAGGAGGCAGAATTAGAGCCTTTATAAGAATACCCAGATGCTGAGCTGGAGACAGCTGCATAGGCTATTCCACAAACTTTCAAACCAGTTTCTGGCTTAAAACACTCTTCTTTCCCCAGATCTGTCATGCGTGCATGCGTGCGTGAGTGTGTGTGTGTGTGTGTGTGTGTTTGGGCGGGACTCTCTCTTCCTTTCTTTAGTTTATTATAGCCAGTTAAATAGAAAATGAGAGAGAGAGAGATACAGGCAAAGATAGAGATATGGGCACTTCTGCAAAGTCCAAGACAGAAAAGAAAGACATTTAGTGGTAAACAAGAGAACACTTCTTGAAAAAAAATATGTGGAGTAGTTCCTGGTGGGTGGGGAATAACAGTATTTTTTTCTTAGATCTTTTGAAGATAACTTAGTCCATTTGTATTTCAGTTTCCTAAATGAATGGCTTTATTTATAAAGATTGAAAGCATCACCATGGAAGATGATCAGTCATTAAAGAGTCTTTCTTGTAAAGGGAACCCCCTGTTGTTCATTCTAAGTTAAGCCAAGGAAGTCCTGAAAAATTATCATTGATTCAACAGATATTTATTGATGAGGATGCTAGCCTCATGGGGCTTACAACGTGAAGGGAGTACAGATAAATAAAGACAGAGACATCACTAGGTGGCAAGTGCTGTGATGGGGAGCCACAGAAGAAGGGGAGCACCAGAGCCACGTGATTCACCCAGTCTTGGGGAGTGAGGGAAGGCTTCAGGAGGACAGGAGATCTCAAGTTGCATTGTGAAGGGGGGAAAGGAGCTAACCAAAAATGGCCAAGGAATTGAATGTGCTGAGGCCTGGGTATAAGAAAGCATGACCCGTATCTGGAGACCTGAGCATGGTCCTTGATGCCCACACTAACTACGGCTGGCCAGCAATGGGGCTGGGGACTTAAGTGGTGGCCAGATCATGAAGGACCTTATCCATCACATGAAGAAGTTCAGAAGTTATATTTGGGTTACCTATTTCATATGTAGCTTTTATATTTAGCCACTTTTGTCTTCTTTCCATCACAGACATCACAATAACATAAGAAGTATTGCCATTCTGTTTGTTACAAATAACTAGGAATGTTCGAAAGTGGCACGTGTATATAAGAGGGTTAACATGGAAGGCTTTCGTCCACAGAAAGTCCTGCTCTCAAGGTTGGCCCTTGGCTGGTCAAGTCTCCCACACTGATAGCAAACTTTCCCTAACAAATAAGGCTGGCGCACTATATCTAGACTATGCAAACAGTATGGTTTATGCTGGAATTTTGGTACATGCTAGCTGACCAACTCCCAGTGAAACCCTTCAGTGCTGTGTCTAATGGGCTTCCCTAGGCAGAAACATCACACACATGTTGCTGCATCTCCATAGGTGGGGGAAGAATGTGCTCTGACCCTTCACGAGAGGGAGAACACACAAGAAAGCCGCAGTCGGATTCCTCCAGGCCCCACCTGTCTTCCCCGTTATGATCCACTGTATATCCTTACTGTATCGCTGTGATAAAACTTAGCCATAAGTACAACTCTGTGCTAAGTCCCGTGAGCCCTTCCAGTGAATTTCCTAGCGTAGAGGAGGTTAAGCATCACCAGCACACCTTCTATGACTGTTTACCTGTAGATATTTATTGGCTGAGGACAAGACGTGAGCTATCAAATAGTAGAAGTACCAGTTTCCTTATTTTGTTTTCGTATATATATTTTTAAATCCAAACTCTTCTAACCCAGTTTGATCTCTCGTCATTATTTCTCAAATTCTCAAACTTGGCTCTGAGTTACTTTCGACTTTTACTTTCAAATGACAAAAATGTGTTAGCTTTTAGGAGAGTCAAAGAAAGCTACTGGCTCTAAGGGCAATTTTTAATCAACAGATCCAGAAAGGATTTGAAGTCCTTGGAATATTTATAGTATTCCAAGGTGACTTTGTTTTTTTTCCTTTTTCTTTGAACAGGTGGGGGTTTACTTCATTGTGCAGCTTCTGGTGTGCTCACAGTCACCCACAGCATTACGGTGCTACACCGTAATGCAGATGGCCTCTCTGGCCGTGCTAAAGATGCATTAGTATTTACAGAATGATATCCACGGACTGGATACTTTCCTATATCTTTTATTGGGAAATTCTACTAAGTCTTACTTGAAAAGAATTTCTTTTAAACAATTAAAAGAAATCCTGGAGGAACTTATGGCCAACCAGGAGATCTTGGATTTCTTTCTTTCTTTTTTTTAAGATTTTTATTTATTTATTTGACAGAGACAGAGAGAGACACAGTGAGAGAGGAAACACAAGCAGGGGGAGTAGGAGAGGGAGAAGCAGGCTCCCCGCTGAGCAGGGAGCCCAACGCGGGGCTTGATCCCAGGACCCTGGGATCATGACCTGAGCCGAAGGCAGATGCTTAATGACTGAGCCACCCAGGAGCCCAAAATCCTTGGATTTCTTACAGGCTTTATCTTCAATTGGGTAAATTCCTTGGAGCTCTGCCCTCTCTCATGAAGTAACTGGCAGTGGTCTGTGACTTGGTTGAGCTGTCCCGCCTTAGGCTGTTTCCTTTCCATCATCTTTGTCTCCCTTTGGACTGGGGTAGGACTGTTAACATGGTGGGCATAGGGCTCCCTGCTTTCTGTTTGACCTTCAGAGAAGCCTTTTCTGGGGCCCAGTAGGTAAAGAATGCTATTTCCTCAGCGTAGCTGGGCTTGTTATTGATCTTTATTTCTTGTCTAATTGGAGAGGATTTACAGTTCATAAATGGACTCTAATATAGAAGGTCCCTGGAGTTAGTATATGGCAACACTGTGATTTCCCAGCAACGTGCAGTTTTACAAGGGTAGTTTTCTTCATAAGGCTATTTACGTTGTGCCTGCTCCCACTTTATTGCCCTTCCGTCCTTTATTTTTCTCCTTTATCCTCTCACTTACCAGGTTGTCAGACTTCTCCCCTCAGTTGCCATAAATACTTAATACTTAACTGCATTTACAGAATGAAGTTTTATATTTATTGTTCATAATTTCTAATGCAAATGAAACATTTTTATTGTATTTCTCTGTTTACAGTAATTTCATGGGAATATTTCTTATTCATGGGGGTCTAGATTTTTGTTGTTGTTATGTTTGAGCAGGGGGATAGTTTTATTTGTTTGACTTGGTTTTGCCCTTCAGATCCAATAGCTTTAATGGAAAGTGGATTTTCTATCGCTGGTGTAAGTCTACTTAGCATCAGTTGCCAAAAAAAATTCAGTTCTAATCAAAGGGTAGGTGATTTATGTAGCCCTTTGTATTTAAAGGCCTGCTTAATGAGGTATGTGAGTGTTGCAAGATTTGCTGGTGCATCCTCTACAGTGTGCCCTTTGATATTTTCTATTCTAGTTTTCCAGAGAGATGGTCATTCAGAGCCTACACATCTGTTCTGTATTTTGAACCTTGGATGAGAATATTCATTCAGGCCAAAAGAGTTAAAACAAAACACCTATGTTACTGCCTCTACAAACCCAGGTAACTCATCTTCTTTCAATTAACTTCATAGAGTTTTTATTTATAAAATCAATATGCCCCTCTCCCTCAAATTGTCAAAATGATTTGATAGTAAGGATTTTTTTACAATTTGATAGTAAGGTTTTTACTATTGTAAATAAAATTCAGACTGCTTCTGAAAGGTTTGCTGAAGAGTAATCATGTGTAACAAATATTTGGCCATAATAGCAACACACTGCCATGAACACTCTGAAGTTAAAGAATCATTCCAAGGAGGAATTTATTTTTCACTCCACTGAATCTTAGGTGCTTTGATTGCGATAAGTTCCATTAAACAAATCACAATTCTGGGGGCGCCTGGGTGGCTCATTCGTTAAGCGTCTGCCTTCAGCTCAGGTCATGATCCCAGGGTCCTGGGATCGAGCCCCGCATCAGGCTCCCTGCTCGGCGGGAGGCCTGCTTCTCCCTCTCCCACTCCCCCTGCTTGTGTTCCCTCTCTTGCCATCTCTTTCTCTGTCAAATAAATAAATAAAATCTGAAACAAAAAAAAAATCACAATTCACTTATGTGTTCTGTTTACACAAGATATTTGAACTATTAAATCATACGTATATGTGTAGGTTTATTTTATGTGTAGAATGAACATATTTACAAACAAATTTGGTTCACTTATATTTTAGCATGAAATTTTTTATTATACCATAGTAAGTCTAGTGAACATACATAACCACATATAGTTATAAATTTCTCTTGTGATGAGAACTTTTAAGATCTACTCTCATAGCAACTTTAAAGTATGTGATACAGTGTTGTTAACTGTGCTGTACACTACATACCCATGACTTAATTATTTTATAACCAGAAGTTTGTACCAGCATAAACTTTTTTTAAGCTGACATTTGCATATTATAAAATTCATCTTGCCCAACTATACATGCAGTCAGACCAGTCTGTGTGTGTGTGTGTGTGTGGTTTCTGGATGGTAATTCATTTACTCACCAAAACATTTATCAAAGTCTTCTGTGAGTCCTAAGATTGTGCTAGGTTTAAAGCATAAGAAAGATAAGATTAGTTTTGGTTTTGAGGAGTTTAATATCTACTGAGAGAAATATTTAATGCTTGTATGCTGTCTATATATGCCTTTTTGCATGCATTGTTGTGTTTGACTTTTGCAGTGACTCTGTGGGTCATGTTTAATTATCACCATTTCAGAGATAAGGAAATGTCACAACTGAACAAGAGCTCAAATATTCTGGCTTCAGATTCTTTACCATTTCACATTCACTGCTCCTTCCCCTATACCACACTAACTTTTTTTTTTTTTTTAAAGATTTTATTTATTTATTTGAGAGAGAGAGAATGAGAGCGAGCACATGAGAGGGGTTAGGGTCAGAGGGAGAAGCAGGCCCTCCGCCGAGCAGGGAGCCCAATGTGGGACTTGATCCAGGGACTCCAGGATCATGACCTGAGCCGAAGGCAGTTGCCCAACCAACTGAGCCACCCAGGCACCCTATACCACACTAACTTTTTATAATAGACCTACATTTGTTATGTTGTCTTTTTTTCATGAAAAAGTAGTAGCTTTCCTGGGGCCTTGCAATCACTCATCTCAATATTAATATTAAAGTTATAGATCTCTTTATCATATGCCCTGAATAAGTCTAGTTATCATCTGTCACCATACAAAGTTATTACAATATCTTGACTGTATTCCCTGTTGTATACATTACATGCTCATGACTTACTTATTTTATAACTGGAAGCTTGTCCCTCTTAATCCCTGTCACCTGTTTTGCCTGCCCCCAACCTGTCCCTTCTCTGGTCATCAACATTTTGTTTATTGTATCTGTTTCTGTTTACTCTTGTTTGTTCATTTGTTTTTTAGATTTCACATATAAATGAAATTACATGGTTTTTGTCTTTCTTTGTCTGACTTATTTTACTTAGCATAATACCCTGTAGGTCCATCCATGTTTTTACAAATGGCAAGATTTCATTCTTTTTTTATGGCTGAGTAATATTGCATTTGTGTGTGTGTGTGTGTTTGTGTGTTTAGGTATATGCATACATACACATCTGCACGTACACACCCCCCACATCGTTTTTATCCATTCATCTGTTGATGGACACAGGTTGCTTCCATATCTTGGCTGTTGTAAATAATGCTACAGTGAACACAGGGGTGCATAGATCTCTTTGAAGTGGTGTTTTTGTTTTCTTCAGATAAATACCCAGAAGTGGAATTGCTGAGTTGTATGGTATTCTTTCTTAAATTTTTTTTTTAAGATTTTATTTATTTATTTGACAGAGAGAGACAGTGAGAGGGAGCACAAGTGGGAGTGGGAGAGGGAGAAGCAGACTCCCCACCGAGCAGGGAGCCTGATGCGGGGCTCGATCCCAGGACCCTGGGATCATGACCTGAGTCGAAGGCAGACGCTTAACGACTGAGCCACCCAGGCGCCCCTCTTTTTTAAATTTTTTGAGGAACCTCCATACTGTTTTGCACAGTGGCTGTACCATTTTACATTCCCACCAACAGTGTACAAGGGTTCTTTTTCTCCACATCTTTGCCAACACTCATTATTTTTTGTCTTTTTGATGGTAGCCAGTTTGACAGGTGTGTGGTGATATCTCATGGTGGTTTTTATTTTCATTTCACTGGTGAGTAGTGATATTGAACATCTTTCCATGTGCTTGTTGGCCATCTGTATGTCTTCTTTGGAAAATTGTCTATTAAAGTGCTTCACCCATTTTTAAATCAGGTTATTGTTTTGTTTTTGATACTAAGTTGTATAAGTTCTGTACATATTTTGGATATTAAGTTGTTATTCATTGTTTGATTTGCAAATATCTTTTCCCATTCAGTAGGTTGCCTTTTCATTTTCTTCATGGCTTCCTTAACTGTACAAAAACTTTTTGGTTTGATATAAACCCATTTATTAATTTTAGCTTTTGTTGCCCTTGCTTGTTGAGACTGTTCTAAAATAATATTGCTAATACCAATGCCAAAGAGCTTACCATCTATGTTTTTTTCTAGGAGTTCCATGGTTTCAGGTTTTAGGGTCAAGTCTTTAATCCATTTTGCATTTATGTTTGTATATGGTATAAGATGGTGATCCAGTTCATTCTTTCACATGTAGCTGTCCAGTTTTCCCAACACCATTCATTGAAGAGATTGTATTTTCCCCGCTGTATGTTCTTGCCTCTTTTATCATAGATTAATTGACCACATATGTATGAATTTATTTCTGGGCTCTCTATTACTTTCCATTGATCTGTGTGTCTGTTTTCATACCAGAACCATCCTATTCTGATTATTATAGCTTTGCAGTATATCTGAAGTCTGGAAGCATGACCTCCAGCTTGGTTTTTTTCCCTCAAAATTGCTTTGGCTATTTGGGGTGGTTCCATTCAAATTTTAGGATTCTTTGTTCTAGTTTTATGAAAAATGTCATTGCTATTTTTATTTTGATGAGGATTGCATTGAACGTGTAGATTGCTTTGTGTGGTATGAACATTTTAATATTAATTCTTCCAGTCTATGACATTGAGATATCTTTCCATTTATTTTTGTCTTCTCTAGTTTCTTTCATCAGTGCCTTATTGGTTAAATTTATTTCTGGGTATTTTATTCTTTTTGATGCAGTTGTAAATGGAATTGTTTGCTTAATTTCCCTTTCCGATAGCTCATTATTAGCATATAGGAATGTAGCCAACCTCTTTGTTTAATTAATTTTAGACTGTTATATTAATTTCAGGTGTACAATATAGCAATTCAACACTTCCATACATCACCCAGTGCTCATCACAAGAAGTGCACTCCTTAATCCCCATCACATATTTAACCCAACTCCCCCCCCTACTCCGGTAACCATCAGTTCTCTATGGTTAAGAGTCTATTTCTTTGTTTCTCTGTCTCTCTCTCTTTCCCTCTTTTTCCCTTTGAAACACAACCAATTTCTGTTTGTTAATTTTGTATCTTGAGGCTTTACCAAATTCATATATTAGTTCTAATAGTCTTTGGGTGATCTCTTTATGTTTTTTTATATGTAGTATCATGTTATCTGTAAATAGTGACAGTTTTACTTTTTTCTCTCTAATATGGATGTCTTTATTTCTTTTCCTTGCCTAATTGCTGTGGCTAGGACTTCCAGTACTATGTTAAATAAAAGTGGTGGTGAGAGTGGGCATCTTTGTCTTGTTCCTAATCTTACAGGGAAAGATGCTACCTTTTCACCATTAACTATGATGTTGCCTGTGGGTTTGTCCTATTTTTATGTTGAGGTGTGTTTCTTCCCACTTTGTTGAGAATTTTTATTGTAAATAGATGTTGAATTTTGTTAGATGCTTTTTTCTGTACCTATTGAGGTGATCATCTGATTTTTATCCTTTGTTTTATTAACATGGTGTATTACATTGATTACTTGTGGATATTGAACCATCCTTGCATCCCTGGCATAAATCCCACTTGATCATGGTATATGATCCTTTGATGTATTTTTGAATTTGGTTTGCTGATATTTTGTTGAGGACTTTTGCATCTGTGTTCAACAGTGATATACTGGCCTGCAATTTTCTTTTTTGGTGGTGTTTTTGTTTGGTTTTGGTATCAGAGTAATACTGGCCTCACAAAATGAATTTGGAAGCATTCCTTCCTTTTCAATTTCTTGGAATAATTTGAGAAAGATAGGTACTAACTCTAAATGTTTGGTAGAATTCACCTGTGAAGCTGTCTGGTCCTGGACTTTTGTTTTTTAGAGTTTTAAAATTATTCATTTAATTTCATTACTTGTAATCTGTTCAGATTTTCTGTTCTTTATGATTCAGTCTGGAAGTTTGTGGGTTTCTAGGAATTTATTTTTTCTAGGTTTTCCAATTTATTGGCATATCATTTTGTGTTGTAGTCTCTTCTGATCCTTTGTATTTCTGTGGTGTCAGTGATAACTTCTCCGTTTTCATTTCTGATTTTATTTATTTGGGTCCTCTTTCTCCCCCCTTTTCCTCTCTTTTTGACATCTGGC